AGGTAGGAGAAACATAAATCATGAATATATTTTTGTATTTTTTCCAGCATGGGCAGCAACTAAAAATTCAGATGGGGTATTCAAGATATTTTAAATACATAATAAAAAAATTTCTTATCCTGAATAAATTGTCCTATAAAATTAATTCACAGAGAGATAAAAAATTTTATGTCAAAATTTAACTAAATCATATCGCGGAATAACCCGACGAACAACGGAGTAACACCGATTTAATCAGCGGTAACACGGGGAATATTCGCCGCGAAATACAACACACTATACGGAGTAACGCAGAGTAACGACGATTAAATCTGTAATAACTTGGGGAATTTTCCATTTGCACAACGGAGTAATGTAGAGTAACACGCTTGGTATAGCGGTAACGTGTTACTCACGTGTTATTCAGCGTGTTACTTACGTTTTATCTACGTGTTACTTATGTGTTATTCAGCGTGTTACTCACGTCTTATTTAGCGTATTACTCACGTGTTATCTACGTGTTATTCACGTGTTATCTATTTATGTGTTATTCATCGTGTTACGTGTTATTCAGCATGTTACTCAGGTGTTATCTAAGTTTTAGTCATGTCTTATTTAGTGTGTAACTCATGTTATCCACATGTTTCTCAATGTGTTATGAAGCGTGTTACTCACGTATTATCAATGTGTTACTCACGTGTTATTCAGCGTGTAACTCAGCCTGTTATCCACGTGTTACTCAGCGCGTTATTAAACGTGCTACTCACATGTTATCTACCTTATTCAGCATGTAACTCAGCCTTTTATCCATGTGTTACTCAGGGTGTTATTCAACGTGTTACTCACGTGTTATCCACGCGTTACTCAAGGTGTAACTTAACCTGTTATTCAACGTGATGCTCAGCGTGTTATTCAACGTGTTATTCACGTGTTATCTACGTGTTTCTCACGTGTTATTCAACGTGTAACTCAGTCTGTTTTCCACATGTTATTCAGCGTGTTACTCATGTGTTATGCACGTGTTATTTTAGTGTTATTCACGTGTTATTTATGTGTCATTCAGCGTGTTATACAGTTGATATTTATGATAATCAATTTATCCATGTTTGACTACTTAAGACAGAAATATTTAAACAAAAAAAAACATATTATAAACCACCAATTATTTCTTTCTTACAAAGTTTGAAGATGTTACAGTATAGCAACATATATAATTTCAATCAATCTATATCTCACTTATGAAATCCATAAATAGTCTAGTGTATGTTTCAGTTAGTTGCGGTGCATAATATTTCTGTAATAGGGGAGTAATACCAAGTTCAATTTGAGTGAGTTATTTTATATAAAAGGCACTCAAATGATACTGAATTTTAGCAACTTACCTGAGTAAGACAATTTGTCAAACTTTCCTCGAATGCATCAACAACTTGACGACTAGTTGCTGCTTCTTGTTCCATTCCTGAATGCAATGGTTAATGCGAATGCAATGGTTAAAGTTAGAAGTATGCATTATACATGGAATGAATGAAATACTAAATCAAAAAATTTGTACTTTTATCTTTCTTATTTTTCTCCCAATATCCTTTTAACCTAGATGTAGATACTATTTTTGGCCTCTTTTTAGCAGGGTCGTTCACGTTGCGGTCGTTCACATTGCATTCTATATTTGTAAATTTTTTCTTCTTTCTTCTTTTATTTACTTCGGTCGTCCTCCCTGCTAGTGCATCGTCAATATCTTCAGATAATTTTTTAAACGTGTCTCACAAACACGCCTCATTTAAATTTTTTTTTAAATGAGTTGATATGCAAATTTCTGAGAGCATGACATGAGTAGAAGGGCACTTGAAGAAACATTATTCAACCCATAGTCTTTTAGATTTCTGCAACCAAACCTATTATGCATGTCCCCTTTAGTATTGATGGACCACCACAATAAGAAATATTTCACCGGAATCACCTTTATTTTGATGACATTGAGAACAAATAGTGCGTGGGAGCATAACAAACCCATCATCTCAAATTTTTTGCAACTACATGTAACCTCACAAGTAACTTTATCAACTAACACATTCAAGGGCAGCCTTGTCCCCTCATCATCCAATCTTGATACTTCAGCTGTAAACCCACATAATCCATTCAATAGCTCTTGTTCAAACATTGAGTAAATGTTTCTTTTATAGAATGAGGCAACTTGCCTCAGCACGAGATTGATTTTAACTATGAGTGTTCTGACGGACTGACTGCGTTTGAAATCTTCATCTTTCTCGTTCCGGCGCCATGATTTAATTATGATTTTAAGACCGATAAAGCAATCCGTGAAAGAGCTAGTTGGCTGTGCAACTCCATGACATACATTATTGGTTGACTCACTTCTCTGTTTTGATAAGATTCTCATACCGAATATATCTTTATTAAATGTTGTTAACCATCTATGCCTTATACTGTACATTTTATCTAACCAGACATTGCTTTGTAGTTCTCCCAACTCAATCATTAAGGACCCCATTTCTTCAAACTCCTCATCAGAATCACAGTTGCTCATGCATTTATAGAAAAGACCACAGACGCTTTTAGTACGCACTCCACAGTGTACTTTGGAAGACAGTTTCTTGTAGATATGCCATTGACATAATCTGTGACGTGTTTGTGGGAGACATTCTGCGATGACTCTTGTCATTGCTTGATTCTGATCGGTAAAAATTGTTATGGGATGTTTGTCACCCATTATTCGAATGAATAATTTGATTAACCACATGAATGATTCAGTAGTCTCATCAGACAAAAATCCAACTCCAAACAGTACGTTCTGTCAGTTGTGGTTAACCCCCACAAATAGAGCGCAACATAAGTTATATTTATTTAATCTGTAGCTTGTATAAAAAATTATCACATCCCCGAAACAGTCATAATCCAGTCTCGATAATCCATAACTCAAAAAAATGCTTGTTAACCTACCAGAATCATCTGTTTGGAAATGCCAAGCAAACATGTTATCCCCAGCTTGCCTCACCACGAACAATTATATTAGAGCATTGACATCTCCCTGTTCAATTCTTTGTCTTCTTTCTCTTTGGATGAAATTAAATGCATCTCTTAGTGCATTCCAAATTCTCCACACCACCAACCTCCGTGGCTATAAAATTGTATGCATGTGTTGCTCCGATCCCTGAACCTGTCATTGATCTCAACACATCTGCATTCAGCTCACTTATTCTTCTGCTGGAATGAAGAAGATACTTATCACAACTTTTCGGGAAAAGGATGATTGTGATTTTCAATGAATTTCGTCACTGTCCAATTGCCATCGAAATCAACAGCAAATCGAACAATAGTCTTACAGTCAGTTCTCGTGTCTGCTTTTCTGAACTTAACTGTGCTGTTAGGCTCTTTCTTGTAGCCAACTTTTCCACAAATAAAATCTTTGATCTTGAGTTTCTTGGAGTTCGACCAATAGGTAGTATGATCATTCCGAACAGTGAATCCTACTTGATGTAGATAAACACGACTCATTGTGGACAATGTTGTTTAGAAACTTCTCTGCAATTGGATCATTGCAAACTTGTGTTGCTTCACAGGACTGCATAACACCATGATAACATCAGTATAACACAATAATAACACAGTAACGATAATAAATCAAAGGCAATAACAAACATAACATTGGAGTAATACCAGAGTAATTCCAGAATAACAAAAAAGTTACACCAAACAACCACAAGCCTAAAATCATAATAACACAAAAAAAAAACACCATTATAATACAAAAAAAACACTGTAGAACAACACCCAATAACGCGATATCAACACCAACATTTACATTAGACTAAGACAACTGTTATACCACAGTAACAGTACTGAATCAAATGCAAGAAACAACATAACATTGGTGTAATACCAGAGTAACATCAGAATAACACAAGAGTAAAATCAATAAAACCAAGCTTAACATCATAATAACACAAAAAACGCAGCAGAAAAACACCATAAATTTTACCAGTAAACTATAAATATAAACACTACAAACAAAATGACAATACCATAAATAGAATGAAAATATTAAGCTAACATAAAACTAGAGATCATTACAGACTCACTTGATTTTCAAAGTTTAGGCCGAATGATGGGTGTAATTCCTCCGACATCTCAATGTTTATGGAGACCTCCATGGAAACCTTAGTTGCAGAGCTGCGAACGAAGCTACGAAATATTTCTTCCACCTGCAACCGCAAATAGAACAATAAGTAGACGCGAAATATTTTTATGCTTGCGGGAAATTTTTCAGGTTTAGGGTCGGGCCGGGTCGCGATTAATAAGAAAATTTTTTTGCTGTGCTTTAATAGGTGCGGCCTGACTTTCCATGTGTCGGCATTTGATTGGCTACGCACGTAGGTTTACATG